GCCCCCTCGGGGAGTACCCGAGCCCCTGCCACCTGCTGCAGCTTTTCCCAGCTGTCCCTTGTGCTGCGGCAGTTGGTGACAGGGGATCTGGCTGGCCCGGGCACGGATGGATGGGGCTATCCTGGGGGCGGTGGGTTAATAATAGCATCTCACTGGCCTGGTGCTGGCATGTTTGCCGGGGGCCAGGGGGAGCCCTGGGGCTGTGCAGGCATCGGGCAAGGTGACTTTCTGCTTGCTCCTGCCTGCCTGCAGGTCTCTCCCGCTGAGAAGAACACCAGTGAGACTCTGTGCTCCCTGAAGTTCGCCGAGAGGGTTCGCTCCGTGGAGTTGGGTCCCGTCTCCCGCAAGGCTGAGCTGGCCTCTTGGCCCAGCCAGGAGCAGCTGGAGGTAACCGAGGGGCTGCTGGTGCCCTTCCTCTTCCTCCTTGTCCCGGGGAATTGGTGGGGGGGTGCTGTCCCCATGGCTGTTTGCTGATGGGTGTCCCCCCCTGGAGCCACCTCGTTTGGGGACTGTCACCCAGCGGGATGTGTGCTGTCCCCAGGCAGCAGCGGCCAGCTGATGCTGCCACCTTGGCTCTTCCAAGCCCTATTTTGCAGCAGCCCTGTGGTACCCCGAGAGCATATTTGGACACCACTACCCAGGCAGGCCCACGAGCCCATCCCTGTTCCTTCCCTCTGAGGACTGGCATGGGCTGACTCTGGGGCCATGCCCCATCTCCCCACAGGGTGACTCACCCGGGACTGCAGCACCCTCCAGCCGGGGCCATGTGTCCCCCAGCCCAGCACAGCTCTCCGGCCGTGCTGCCTCCATCCGCAGGAAGCTCCAGACCTCAGGTAGGTGGTGGGGCCCCATGGCCTCACTCCGCACCCCGGGTGCCCAGCCGGGGTCCCTCCCTTGGAGGAGACTCCTACACCACCCTCAGCCCAGCCAGATGCTGGCAGGGAAAGCCTGCATCGAGGAGCTAGCTGATCTGTAATCAGCTCATTAACTAATGGCTAATTAGCCAGTGGGAGCCTGGTTAGCACTTCCCCAAGAGCACCCTGGCACGAAGCTGCTGCGGTCGGCTCTGGGCGGGGGGAAGAGATGCTGCAGGGCAGCGGCTGTGCCACCAGGCTGAACATTTCTCCCCTTCGATTTCAGCCTGACTTAGGGGCAGCCATGGCTGCCAGGTGAGTGCCTCCGGCCGGGAGCTGGTGGAGGGCTCTGCTTTGGCCCTGCTTCCCGAGGAGGGCAGGGGTGCCAGGCTGTGCTGCTCATGGGGATGCTTGTGGTACCAGTTTAATGCAGCACTGGCTGAAACGCCCCCGGATGGAGCTGGGGCAGTGATG